AGCAGCGCCTTCAGCAGCGCATCGCCCTCGCGCTGCTTAGTCGTATGTATGCCCAGGTCGGCGCAGGAGCTGCGCGGAGAGTGTGTGGGCGATGAGTCCGGCGAGGGCGGGTTCGACACAGCAGTCGTTGACGGCAGAGGCGGCACTGCACACAACGGGCGGTGAGCTTAGCAGGCAAGAAACTGAGAACGCCCCGGTAGGGGTTCGCGCGTGGGCGGTAGCGCTAGAAGCTTCGAGCGAGTATTGCCTTTTTAATATTGGATGAGGCGGGGAGGTCGAACCTTCGGTCTTCTGCTTCTTGGACATCCTCCAGCCGCCCTCGGTGGAGGCAGGGAAGTGCTTCGGGGGTCGGCCGCGCTTCTTGGGCTCGACATCTTGGCACAATTCGGGCTTACCGAGCGCCACGCAACGTCTGCAGGGCCGAGCTCTGTAATGGGGAACCCGACTGATGAGTTAATGGGGAATTAACTGCCACGGAGGAGAAGGATGAAGGAGGGATTAAATCATACTCGAATTGTAAATGAGCAAAAAATAATCCGAGGACGTTTTCCTCTGCACAGGCAAAAGAACAAAAAGAACAAACAAATACCGTACCCATCGCAAGCAGTGTGCGAGAGGCGGCACAGGCGACAGGCCTTGTTGGTACAGTCCGAGGCCATCTTGGGGGAGCGTAATTAGCTTCAAGATTGGCGGCTTGGCTGGCGGTGGGTACGTTGGGGCGCGCTGTGCGGAAAATGAGACCGAAGAAGCAAACCCCCCGCGGAGACTTTGAAAAGAATTTTCCTACGGCCCAATCGGCATTTGTTGCGCCATGATCGGTTTTTACTTGGGATCGATATTTCCGTATGGGCCGGACGTGCCGACTGCCATTGGCCCAGATCTTTCCGGTCGACGGCAGATGTTCACCGAAAAGTGCAACCCAACAAAACAAAGAAAAAAGCCAAGAGAAAGAGTGAAGAACAGGAAGCATGCGCACGCTGGGGGAGCTCGCTCTGCTTGTCGGGCTTGAGCATGCACTGCATTGCGAGTCCTTCAAGGACCTTCCCTCGGGAGTACAGGTGGGTCTTGCCCTTCCCCCCCCCCCAAGCACCAGCCACGCGTGCGGTCCTAACGCTGTGCCCTGCTTAATTCCCCTTCTTGAATGACAGTTGCGCCTGTGGGAGGAGGTGACGCCAATGGTGCCCATTACCGCCGCGTTGTTGCGCAAGTTTGACCTCCATCTTCTACTGGAGGACAACCGGACGCTGGGCGGTACCGACCACTGCCACACCAACGTTGAGCGCTCCTCCTCTTTGCTGACCATGGGTTGGTGGGGCTGGTCGACCACACAGGAGCGAGAGGGGTTCACCGCGACGCACTCGAGCTGCTGGGCCAGTACGAGAAAGAGCAGCGACGCAGTGCCGCTGAGGCCGACGCCCACGTGGGGCTGCGGTCGCTGTGCGTGCGCGCCGTGCACCCGAAGCCCAAGGGCATGCACGGTCTCCTGGCGCCCTTTCGCCAGTTGCGCTCGTTGTCCCTGCACGTCTTCATCAAGCCCGACGATCTGCGCTGCCTGCGAGGTATCCAGCATTCCACTCGGCGCTTTGACGTTGCCATCGCCACCACTAACTTGACTCGCGCGTGCTGCCAGGCATGGCCCAACTGAGGCGCCTTGACCTCTCCAAGTCCTCGCTCTGCGACAAGGGCATGACGTACCTGGGTGCGGAATGACCGCCTGACTACAGCTGCTCTCACTCTGATGCTGACGGACTCTTTTCCCTGTTTGTGTTCCCAGCGATCGCATCGCTCGAGGAGCTCTCGATTGCCGAATGCAAGATGGCCACCGATGTGGGAATGCTGACGCTCACCCAGAAGAAAGGTGTGCAGTAGTTTGTGTGGGAGAGTGATGGAGGTGTCATCTCGCTAACCACGCTCGAACACCACCCATCACCAGATGTGTTGACCAAGCTTCGGGTGCTCGACATCGCCAGGACCAAGTTCACCCCTAAGGCGCTCATCACAGTCTCGGGTATGGCGCAATGTGAGCCACTGCATTCGCGCAGGTCGATGACCGTTCTTCTCTCGTTTTGGTTGGTTGTTCTGTTCTTTCTCCAGAGCTGGCTTCCCTTGAGGCGGTCAATGCCGCTTGCACGGACCTCGATGACCGCGCCTTTTTGCGCTGGACTCGAACCCTGCGCCTGACCCACCTCAACATTCACGCCACGCTGGTCACCGGAGAGAGCTTTCGTCACATCACTCGTACGTTGTACCCATCCTCGCCGAGAGGAAAGTGCGTCTCGTCTCGTTTCTCACTTTTTCGTTCTTTTTGGGGTGGCCTTCCCTCAGGGATGAACCACCTTCGCTACTTGGACATGTCAGGCATCTTTTCGGGCACCCAGCACAGCCCCCATGGCGTTTTCGGTAATGCCTATCCGCACGCCGCTCTAGCCGAGCCCCTTCTTGCATCCACTCGATCGTGCTCGCTAACTGACGCGCCACCGCAGCTGCTCCGCGTTTGGAATACGCGGACGTATCGCATTCGCTGCCCGGTAGCTTTTGGTACGTCGTGAGAACGCTCATTGTGCCGGCGGCCTCGCCAGTCTCACGTACCATTCTGACGCACTTGTATTCAGGCACAGGGGCTGCGACCGGAAGACGTCAAACCGCTTGCGCGTGGTGGTCGGCTCCAAGCCCGTCAATCGCCGGGTTCTTGCTCCCTCCCAATGTGCGTGTGCAGGCTTGCCGACGTGCTGACCGAGCCTCTCTTCGTCTTCGTCTTCCAATTCTTAGTTGCTACCGCAGCGTGTGCACGTTCTGGATGCGCGTGAAGCGCCCAGAGACAGTGGAGTGTGCTTGGCGCTCCAAACGGGCGTGTGCGATGGTAAGGCACCTCCACTGAGCACCCTCTCCCCATTTCTCATCATGTCACTCACTCGGTGCGTTGTCTCTTGGCTGTGGCAGGCGACGAGGACTTGGCCGATGCCGCGATCAAGCTGCTGAATTGCAACCTCACGCCGGGCATCGACATCTACGACGATTCAAACTTTGAGGTTCGTGCACCAAAGATCCTGGTTGTGCGTGGGCGCGCGCGCACGAAGTAATGCGGCCGTGATTAAGTAGCCTTTCTGGGCCACGCAGGGGTTTGTTGCCTCGCTGGCAGCCGTTAGCTTGGGCGGGCGGCGGCGATCGCGCCGGTCCCAAGCGAAAGGAGTGCTCAGGAAGCCCAAGTTTGCCAACAAAAAGGAGCGCTACGACCACTTCAAGCTCAAGGCCGAGGCAGGCCGTCATCTCCTCGAGGAGTATTTTCTGCGTCGCGTCCAGGCCAGACCGCCCGCTCTTACACCACTTCCTCCACGCGCGGCCGTCGGCCTGAGGTTCTTTGCGGCGGCCCACCTTAACTACTTCCGCGAGAGGCAAAGCAAGCTCGTGTGCGACAGAGGACCTGAAGAACTCCTGCGGTACATTGGAACCGATTTTCGATGCGGCCTCTCGCTCACCGGTACAGCGCCTGTGCTCCTCTTGGTTCTTGCCTGGCCACTGACACTTGAAACGCGCCACGCACCCGCCCACAGAAATCGACATGTTGGCCAAGAACGTGATGGTCTACCTAAACGAGCTCTTCACTCGCCTCCGAACCGGCAAGGGACACGAAGCCTTGCAGGTGTCCGAAGACTATGCCAAGTCGCCCGACAGCTCGGCCTCAGGCGACCACAAGAGCAACGACGCGAAGAACGACAGAAACAGTGGCAGGACCACCGCAAGCCCGCTCAACCTGGCGAGCCTCACACAGCGCCGCGAGGTGGGCATGGTGGAACGCGCCGTGCGGCTCCTCGCTCGTCTCGTCGCCGTGGCCGAGGCATCTCCCAACAGTCGTGTGATCGAGGTCGTTGTCGAGAGCGGCGGGCTCCGTTTGGCCGTGGACATTCTGTGGCACTTGGGCATGGCCGGCGTCAATGCTGCGCTCTCCCTCGTTTGTATGCAGATCATCGCCGATCTCGTCACGCATGCGACCCCTCACCCCATACGTGTCTGGGGTGACGCCGTCTCGCACTACTCGAGCCTCGACCATGCCAAGGCGAAGGCGGATCTAGCCTCCAGCCGGCTATGGCAGAGCCGCTTGTGCAAGGCGGCGCTGCTCTTCGCTGATGTCGACTCCGACATCGGTGAGCTCGTGCTGCGCGCCTTCCCGCTCACGCGTACGCCATCCCTCTCTAGAGTCTTTGCAAGCCATCCGCGCTTGGCTCTCAACCTCCTATTTTGAACACCACACACAACGCAGTTGACTCACTGTCGGTGAGTGGTCTGGGCCAATTGGTCATCGGCAATGTGGCCAACTACGTCAGAGAGCGGCGCCCGACCCGTGCGCGAGACTGGTTCAAGCCGTTCCAAAGGGCAGGCCCCTACACCTCCGAGATCTTGGTGGCCCTCAGGGAGTCTGAGACCCTGTCGGGGACCGCCTCCACCGCGCCCGATCGAACGCTACATCCGCCGTCGGCGTTCTTCGCACACGGCACTGAGAACGCGCTGCGGTTGCTGCTGGCGGCGATCCTGCGCTCCGCACGCGCGGCGGACACTGTTGGCCAGGAGGCCTGGGTCCGCGAGCGACGAGAGGAGAAAGGCCACGCGTTCTCGGTTGCCGGGGCCTGGGCCAAGGTCGTCGACAGCCACGAGAGGTTCGAGGCCGGCTTCTGGCGGGCCGCCTGCAAGAAGCCTGCGACCGCTCATGTTCGCGACGACTACACTGCGGACAGCCGTGTCGACGCGGCGGTGCAAGTCCGGTGCGATCAGTTCGTGGCGTCGTTCGTCGAGGCCGGCGGGGTGGCGCTGCTGGTCGACATCGTGGAGAGGGCATCCACGGAGTGCGCGGAGGAAGTCTCAACGACCCCCGGCTGCGGTGAGAGGGAGAGGCGCATCGCTCTCGCGCTGGTCGAAGTGGGCGGGCAGTACGGGGACCGCAATTTCGCTCCGCATCTGGAATGCGACCGTGGGCAGTGGCACGCGCAGTGGAGCCAATGGGAGCGCCAGCGCAGGATCGCGCACGTCGCCGCCGCCCTCCTTCGCGCGCTCGTCGCCACCGATGACCATCAGCCGCGCAACGAGGCGCGCAGCAAGGGCAAGGAGAAGGCGGAAGCTGCGGAGAGCTCCCTGCATCATCATCACTCTGGCGCCGATGACGGCATGGAGCTCGATCGTGAGCCTGATGTGCCGCTGACCAGCCTCGAGCCGGGTCCAGGCATGGACCGCCTGCTGGCCCGGGCGCTGTCGCTCCACGCCACTCGCGCCGACACCACCTCCACCGCTGCTGCCGCGTGGGAGGACGAAGTAGGCCTGCGTCCCTACCTCGACATCAAGCGCGCCAAGAAGGGTACGCAGCGCGAGGGAATCCCTCAGTGGTCGATCACTGCATTGTGTGGTGGGCTGCATTGTTGACATCTCACGGACACAAACACAGCGACCGAGGCCAAGAACCGGCTACGACGGCTCAAGAAGAAGCAGCGCAAGCAGCCTCATCCCGCGCCATCGCGGGCGTAGAGCACCTGCCTCTAGGACGCCCTGTTACGGCGTTTTATTCAAATAATAAGGCGGAAGCCCGCAAATCCGGCGTCGGTGGCTGAACCTCCGTCGGTGTCCTGATCACCTTGAACGACGGTGAGCAGTTCAAAGCTTGTCCACACCAAAATAGCTCTTTTTCTTTTTCCTTGGTGCGCTGGACACGCAGCCACAAGATGATGACCGCCATAGCGGCTCCGTTGAAGAGGAAGCAGCCTGCACTCGCACAGGCGTGCGTGCTCTGTCGCATAGCCCACACCGCCTGCACGGGGTACGCTTAGCCCCCCCCGGCTTCGCTCTTTTTTATTATTTCTTTTTCCTTTCGCCTCTGGGTAGGAGCCACATGGGGGGGAGGAGGCAACGGCACAAAGTCAAATGATGGAAAGATGAAACGTCGATTGATGAAACGTTACGCTGACGGAGAGAAGGAGATCCAAGCGGAGTTTGTTGGTTTGCGCAAAGCTGTCACGATCGCGACTGTTGCAGCAGCAGCACAACTGACTGATGGCGCGCACACAAAGCACCAAGCCCTGCCGGCGGTGCGTGACAGAGGGCACGCCGGACAAGTGTCAGTTCACCGAGCCCAAGAAGCGCGGACGCCCCCCGCGCCTCGACAAGAAGCCCAAAACCGAAGGTGCCCTCCACAATGCCCTCACGTCATTCCTTGCATGGCCTACTTCTACAAAGAATGAAGACGACAATGAAAGGCAAAGAACGAAAACGACAATCGCTGACCGACCTCCAATGGACCGACTGCAGATGACGGGCAGGCAAGCACTACCACCGCCACAGCCACCGGACCAGGTCCATTGTTGCAGCCGCAACCGGTCGCTGCCGGCTCAGGACACGGCCACGGCAACGGCCCTCGCTCATCGCCAGCTGCACAGTTGCAGCCGATGACGCCGATTGCGCTGTCGCCCTACCCCGTGCCATCGTCCTTCATCTCCCTCTTCGTCCACAACGGATCGCCCATGCAGACCCTCCCACCGCCCCCGCAGCACTACCACCACCAGCAGCAGCAGCCTACACTGCCCCAGCCATCCCACACCCAGCCACAACAGAACGGCGCTGGCTTGCCACACGCCGCACTCCCGAATCACGCACAACAGCCGCAGCCGCAGCCGCAGCCATCGCAGCAGCCACAGCCGCAACAACCGCAGCCACAGCCGCAGCTGCAACCGCAGCATCAACAGTTTGCTGCCACTGCGAGCATCACCCACTCGCCCAGCGGCTCCGGTCCGGGGAGCTCCTCGACGTCGCACTTTGCTTCGTTCATACAATCGGCGAGCCCTTCCACGACGTTGCCTTCTCCGACGTTCAACGTCTCCACGCTCTCGTCGTCGGCGTCGCCCGTGGCTCCCCCGGCATCGCCGCCGCCGCCGCCGCCGGCCATGGATGCGCTGCTGTCGCTCCTCGTGCAGGAGATCAAGGACCTCAAGAAGACCGTCAAGACCGTGCAGAGCGAGATGGAGGCGCTCAAGAAGCGACAGACCGACCTCGAGAAGACCGTGGCAGGGTCGCTCCCGAGCTCCCAGACCTCGTCTTCCACATCGCCCACATCGGCCTACCCCTCGGCCCATTTGACGTCGTCGTCTTCGCTTTATGCCTCAACTCCGGGCGGAGGCGCGATCTACGCGAGCGGGCGAGGGTCATCGTCGCACTACCTCTCCTTCAACGCCGGCGGGCCGACCGCCGCGTCGACTTCACTGCAGCCGCTCCATTCGATGATCATGGAGCCCTCGTTCCCCTCCTACGCGTCGCTGCACGACTCGCTGGTGGTCGCGCGGCAGAACATCCTGCAGCACTTCCCGTTCCTGGCCGACTACGACCTCGGCTCGCCCAGCATACCGTTCGTTGTGGACGACATCCGCAAGCCCTGCTGGGCCTACAGCGTGCGGCCCCGGCACCTGGGAGAGGACATGAAGCCGCCGACCATCGTCTACGCCAACACCGCCTTCTGCCGCCTGACCGGCTTCGCCTCGGTAGTCGCCACGCACGCCTCACAGCTGTGCGCGCAGTTTGGCCGCCCACCTCCAAATCAGACTGACCTTTTTTCTTTCTTCTTTTTTGGTGCTTAGCATGAGCTGCTGGGCATGAGCTCGCAGCGGATAACCTATCTCGAGGACGAACACAAGAAGAAGATGATCCACTTGATCTACCAACAGTACCGACCACCTTCCCGTGCATGCGTTGTGTTCGTTGTGAAGTGGGATTCGATTCCTGCTGATTCGACCGCACCACCCAGGTCGCCGGTGCCCTACACGGAGGTGCTCAACCTGACGTTCAAGTGTCTGCGGAAGGACATGCGAGCCCTGCGACTGCATGCTCGCTACCAAATATTCTACGGCAGCAACGCCAAGGTATCTGGACTTCTCAGCGCCACGCGCACGCACACGCGCACCACAACGTGCGCTAACTACGGTGGTTGTAGTGGCAATGGGTCATGGCATGTGTGGAGCGCATCGAGCACATCCCGCTGACGCCCGAGGAAGAAGCCAAGCTCCATTCGTTGGCGCTGACGGTCTCATCCAACCCTCACAGGCCTTATTCCCAAGGTACTCGTCTCAGTCTCCCTCGTCCCTCGCTCTGTTGCTCCTTTTGTCCCTCCCTCCCTTCCCCTTTCTGAAGCCCCCGTCAACGCAGGCTTGTGCGCATATTGTGGGATTTCCACATCTGTGTCGCTGTCTCCGCAAGGAGAAGGTGCGAGCGGAGAGAGGTCATCGCCATCGCAGCCGATAGTGTGCGCGTCGTGCAGCGTGGCGCGACGACATCAGTCACCGTACACCATGGCAGAGGCCAACAACACATCACCACCATCGCGGCTCGAGGGAGGAGTGCAGAACTACGGTAGCGTCAACCACTACGCTCCGCCTGCCCCAACACAACACCCTGGAGTTCACCCGCCCTCGTCCTCTGGCGGTGGTGGCGGTGGCCTGCTGCTCCCGCTCGGCGTGCACTCTCCACCGCCGCCACAATCGCCCGACTACGGGGCCTATTGGGCCATGTGACTGACACCTGGTGCCGGCCCTCTAGCTGCTTGCTTCACGCACTCTATATTCATCCATGTTCATCTCCACCAGAAGCTGGCCAACTGAAAGGGGGCAAAAGTGTACAGAACCCAGTTTCCGCTCGCCACCCTGCATTGTGCCAAAGAACGAAGGCCGAGAACAGAAAAGAACGAAGCGGTGGAACGCGGGAATGCGGGTGGAGGGGTAGGAATTGGAAGGAAATGTCGCGGGCTGGTGCGGTCGACAGTGGGCGTCCCACTCGTGAGCTGGAACTGTGAGCCTGCTGGCCCTATTTCGGTAGGTACTGCACGGCCTCGCGAGCGTGCGGTCGACGCCTACTGTCCACCACCAGCATTGCGACAAGTCACCATCAGCCACGAGAGATGGACGCCGCACAGCTGATCGCCTCACGTCCGGAAGTGTCGCTGGAGGCCAAGCACAGCAGCGACAGCGGCAAGCACCACGACATCAAGGAAGGAGAAGATGGAAAGAAGGGCAGGAGGCGGATGAATAAGAAGAAGGATGAAGGGAACGGTAAGAGGAGGAAGAAGCTAAGTAAGATGAAGCACTACTGGCTGGGCAAAGCCAAGGAGGCCAAGCCCGATAGCGAAGAGGACACCGGCCACACCGAGCCCGTTGTCACAAGCACCGAAGACACCATCGAAGCTGCCGCGCCGGTCCGTCCCGAGCCCTCCAAGCAGGAACTCATTGCCGCCATGGAGAGCGTCGTGGCCACCCTGGGCGGTACGGTCCCTCAAGTTCATTGCAATGTCGTACATACCATCATCTGTCCCTCTTATGAACATCGCCAAACAGACAGGGCCAAGTTCGAGGAGAGTGGCGTGGACTCGGTGCTGGCTTTGATGCGCGTCTACTCCAAGGACCCGCTCGTCCAGGCCGAGATCTGTCGGCTGGTCATGGACCTCGCGGCCACGGGTCCGTCTCTGCCCTCACAACCCCTCTTCCAGTCCTTTGCGCTCATCTTCGCTTACATGATGCTTGTGTCGTCTCACAGCGCGCAACCGGGCCAAGATCAGGGAAGCGGGAGGCATCCTGTTGGTCGTGCTGACCATGCAGACCCACATGAAGGAGCACAACGTGCAGACCTGGGCAAGCGGCGCCCTCCGCAAGCTCGCCATCGATCGTACGCGCTCCCAGCGTATCATAACCCCTCCTCGAAACGTACCGCTGCAGCTGACGCCGGGGGACGTGGTGTTGGTGTTTCCCATTATACAGCGCTCAATCGGCAGCGGATTGTCGACATCGGCGGCATCGAGTGCATCCTCTCTGCGATGCTCCAGCACCCCGACAAGGCCAACCTCCAGGAGCAGGGCTGCGCAGCTCTCTACAACTTGTCCCTGGGCGAGGGTATTGTCATTTTCTGTACCTACTCAGTTGCGTGAAGGGCGCCCGTCTCACAAGTACTTGGCTGCAGAGACTGGACGAGTCGAGATCCAGCAGAACGGAGGGATCCCAGTGGTCATCCGCGCCATGAAGAACTTCAGGGATCACCCGGGAGTGACGGCCATGGCGGCGGGAGCCCTCGGCAACATTGCCTTCGATGGTACGTTCAAGTCTCGGAGTTAAATTGCAGCGTACTAACCATGGTAACCATGTCCTGTAGACCAGAACAAGAACTGGGTGCGTGACTACGGAGGGCTGGAGCTGATCATCGACGCCCTGGTGCACCACACCGACGACGAGGTCGTCGAGCGATCATGTGGCGCCCTGCGCATACTCTCCCGCAACTGTACGCCCGCATTCCCCTCTCGGCTGCGCTTGGTGGGCAGCTGCTGACGACCACGTTCGCGTGCAGCCATCAACGCGTTGGACATTGCGCGCGAAGGGGGCATACCGGCTCTACTGCAGGTCATGGAAACGCACCGGCACCACCACCTCATCCAAGAGTACAGCGCGGCTTGCCTCCAGAACCTGGCCGTCGACGGTAGGGCGTGGCCCGCACCAATCCTTGGTTTCCTTTTGGCTTCGGCTGACGACCGACGTACAGATTTTATCAGGGACCGAATCGTTGCCAGAGGCGGGGTGCGGCGCATCGTCAAGGCCATGTACGAACACCCGACCGAGGCTCCTCTTCTGGCACAGTGCTGCGCCTCGCTAATGAACTTCGCCACCACGGGTACGGTCCCGTTTACAACAACGTCTGAAGGAGACTCAATGGCCTTTTGCCCCACAGACACCAACCGCCTGGTCATGCTTTCTGAGGGGGCCGTCGAGGCCGTGCTCTTCGCCATGCAGATCAAGGAGAACGCGGCCATCCAAGTGCGTTCCTTGGTTTCAGCCCACTGAGTTCTCGCCTGACATTTGCTAACTCTAAACTGTTACAGGAACACAGCTGCGCTATGCTGGCCAACATGGCTTTGAATGGTACCACTGACCCACGCTGCGCCCACCGTGAGACTCACGGACGTCTCTCCACAGGCAAGTGCGCAATGAAGATCTCTGAGGAGGGCATCAAACCCATCCTGAGCGCCATGGCCACGCACTCGGCCAATCCGAGTGTCCAGGAGAAGGCCTGCGGGGCGATCCTCAACCTCTCCGAGTTTGGTACCGCGTCACACACGAACACCAACCACACAGTGCGCGCTGATCAACTCATCAAATTCCGCTCCCAACACCTGCAGATGTGGTGCGGCGACGCCTGAACAGGAAGCACGCGGCGCAGGCGATCATGGAGGCCATGGAAAACCATCCACACCACGAGGGCGTGCGCAAGTACACCTCGGCCGCCCTCCTGCGCATCATGAGCGACGAAGGCAAGACAGTTCCTCCCACCTTCTAACTGTGGTGCAGAAGAAGAGGAAGAAGAGTAATTGTAAATATCAGGAAAGAAAGGACTCTAACAGGAACATCAGCAACCAGTAGTGCTAGAAACAGCGTTGACACCTCCAGCTGTGGAGAAGCCGAACAGATCTCGGCACTCACACCTTGATAAGTCACTGACAGGGATAGCAGAATCTCTTTGGCTGATGGACAATTCCAACCACGACCGAGCCCAGGCAGGGCAAGTCGGATCATTGTTCTATGTTACAATCAGCATGGAGCAGGCTTTATTGAAGGTCCAAGGGAAGGTGAAGGTCGTGCACTGCCCGCTTTGCGGCCAGGCCCGACCCAAGGCCACCTTCACTCAGGACTATGTCCAGAGGTTGCGCAACCGCTGGCAGTGCAAGCCATGCAGGGTGGAGGTCGAGCTCTTTGTGGATAAGAACAAGAGCGTCTCCATTTGGAGGACTGCTCTCGGGAAAGCAAAGCCACAGTTTCAGCCGAGCTCTCCCTCACGAAGGAAATCGAGAAGCAGCTGAGCACGGCGAGGCGGGGACGACCCTTGGTGTTGACAAATAAACTGGGCCACCACGCGCTGATCACTTCATTCACCATTGCGGCGTGGGGAATGCATGTAAATAGCTGGAAAGGAAGACGCCGACCACAAGAATCAGCGGGCACTGAAGAGAAAGGCCGAGTGGCGCAAATATTGTCCGCTCGGATGATCTGCGAAACGGAGGTTTCCGTAAATATCCGAGGACATTATTATGCGCCAATCGCGTTTTTGAACCCAGGGACTTTTTCGTGGCGGAGGCCAACAGCGGGCAAAGAGCAGCAAGCAGTGACGAACCAACGAACGATGAAGCCCGCAGGCAGGAAGAGGGCGTGTGTGCCCTGCCGCGAGTCTCACACCGCGTGCGATGGGTTCGTAGCTCCCACAACAATGGACTATACGACAGTAGAGACTAATCGATTAAATTGGTTTAATCTTTGCTTGTGCAGAGGCAATCCGTGCAAGCGGTGTCTGGCCACGGCGCAGCCGCATCGCTGCCAGATAGCGCCCCCTCGTAAGCGAGGCCGCCCCGTGTGGAAGTTCCAGCCCGACCCGCGCAACCTCACGAGCGTGCCGGGTGCCCTGCCCATCAATCAACCACCCCCTAAGAAGCCACGACGTAGTGAACACCATGGTACTTTGCTCTCCCCTTCAAAGTACCCCCCTTTGGCCTGGTGCTGGTGGTGTGCTCATCGTTGCTTGTATGTGGCGCGGTGCCAGTCCCACCAGCACCATCTGGCCTGACCTACTCCTCTGAGGCCTTGTACGTGCCCTCCTCCGTTCCGCCGACGGCCCACTGCCTTGTCCCAATGGCCGCGGGTGCCGGTGAGCAGCTGCCTCAGGCCCCGCCGGCGCCCCTCCTTCCTACCCCGCAACACCTGCCTACGCCCTCGCTCGTGCCCGCAGTCGCAGCAGGAGCGTCAACGCCAGCGCTACCCTCTTCGCTGGCCTCCCCGTTCGATCAGCCCCAACCACCGCCCACGCCCAGTTCGAGCCTGGTGGAGGACAAGGTGCGGACGGTGGAGTCGGTGGTGGGCCTGCTGATCGAGGAGCTCCGGAGCGTGAAGCGGGACAACGAGCTGCTGCGGGACGAGATCACCTCCGTGCGGTCGCAGCACCAGCAGACCGAGGCCCACGTCCTGCGCATCGCCGAGACCTACCAGAGCGCTCCGGTCCGCGCCCATTCCTCCAGAGGCGAGTGCGCTTCATCATCATCTTCGTCGTCGTCGTCTGCGGTGTGGGTGCCGCCCTCGTCGCCCACGTTCGGGCACAACACGGGCGCTAACGGTGACCCCAACACGCCGGAAGCGCAGGCGCTGATCACGCGGCTGGTGCCGTTTGTGGCCAAGTACGACGTCAAGGCGCGCAACGCGCCCTTCGTGCTCGATGATCTCAAGTACGTCGTGCGCGATGCACCGCTTGTGCCGCCCCACAGCACCTTGGTCCAGTGACACTGACTGACTCTTATCATTCACAGTAAACCGTGGGCGGCCTTTCGTGTGCACGAACCCAAGACCGTGGCCGAGATGGTACCGCCGATCCTCTCCTACGCCAATCCCGGGTTCTGCGCGCTCCTCCGCTACCGTCTGGTGCGTCATCGCCACTTCTCTTTGTACCATGACTGTGCGCGCACTGTGGCTCACCTGTGTGTGGTTATGTATGTATGTCTGTCTGTGAACAGGACGAGCTGCTGGGGTGCGGTCTGAACAACATCGTGCGGGTGGACATGGAGACCATATTCACGATCCTGCCGTCGCTGTTCCCCCAGCGCAAGGCCTTTGCCATCGGCGACCCCTTCAAGGCGTCGTTCACGTGGATCACCAAGGACAAGCAGGCCGTCAACGCCCGAACCCGAAACCAATACTTCTTCAGCAAGGACGGCTACGTACGTCGTACACTGCCTTACCTTCGTTCTTCTTCGTTCTTCCTTTATTTCTTCGCGCAGTCGAGGCTAATAGATTGTTTGTTCGCGTGGCCAGGCCAAGTGGCGTATCACAGTGGTGGATGGCCTGGTCGAAGACAGCCCGCGGTTCGTGCCGCTCTCCATGCCCGAGGTTTACCGGTACTTGGGCACCTGGATGAGCGACGCGCAACACCAACAGCAACAACACGACCTGGACTCGCCTCCTTCTCCACCCTCACCCAGCTGGGTATCGTCGTCGTCGTGCTCAACTTCATCTTCATCGTCGCCCACGCAAGCGACATTGGCGGCAACGGGTCCGGACAGCCCCGAGCCGTACCTTCTGCACCACTCGCTACTACTGCCCGAGGACCCGAGTGCCGGCAGCCCGCTTGGGCGCCCGTCCCCGCTGCCGATCAGTGCGCAACCCAGCCCGAGCATGGACCTGCTCGAGGAATGGCTGGGCGTCTGCTACGCGTCCAATAGCCTGTGAGGGCTCATCATCGTCATTACTCTTTCGAGGGAGAATTACCTGGCGCTCCCCCCACGTAATGCATACATTTTTTTCATCACTGTGAAGAGCTTCCAACCAACCTGATGATGACTGCTTGCTCGCCTATAAGTCAGTGGCCAGCGAGAGCGGCGATGAGGGACGTGTAGATCTGCACGCCGTCGACAAACACCTGAATGGTGGCGCCCAACCAAAGGGAGAGGTTAACCACCTTCGTTCGTCGCTCGCGAGGTGTAGCGCGGTACCTTGGCGGAGAGGAATTCGTTGTGATCGTGCAGCAGGATGGGGGTCCGGTTGATGGGCGAGAAGCCAAACGCCGGGATGCCCACCTGTCTCAAGTACCGGCTGTCCGTGGCTGTTGACGTTTCAATGCGATAAGCATGCCGCACACACACAAGACACACACACGACACACACGACCACGCACGAAGAAATAATGTAGAGGCGCACCTGCAGGGAAGATCTCGGTTTCGATGCCCAGGCCAAGCTTCTGGGTGGTCTCCGAGAAGACCCGCCACCACTCATTCTCAGCGGGGTCGACAGACGTGACGCTGTGCTGCGGGGTCTTCACTACGAACTCGTAATGCACGCCCTCCTCCTTGGTCCTGCATCGCACACACCGCACACAACGCACACATGACGTAAGCAAGCCGAGGACACATGTGTACGAAACGGAAAAACAAAATGGCGGATAGGGAGACTGGGTGAGCTGTCGCACCACTCCTTCATCCTGGCTTCGAACTCGTCGAGCGGCACCGTCGGCGGGATGCGCACGTCGAACCCGGCCTCGGCCTCGGTCGGGATGACGTTGAGCGCCCACGTCTTACCGCCGTCGGTGGTCATACCCCCTTTCCGGAAATGACATTTATGAGGCGTTGAGGCGGGAGCTGACGGTACGAAGAGTCTTGAGGCTGACTGTGTGCGTACCCTGGAGCATGGTGAGGTTGAGCGTGACCACGTCGCCCAGCTTCTCTGCCTTCACCGCCGCGTGCTGGCATCTGTTGTTTGGTCGGGTCAGGTGTCTTTTGCAGGGTAAACGGAGCAGAGAGGAAGGCGTACCCAGGGTGCGCCTCGAGGCGTGCCTCCTGCTCAGCTCTGAAGGCCAGGAACTGCTGGACCGACCGCAGGAGTTTCTCCATGGCCGTGTTCTTGATGAAGCGGCTCCCGTGTCCGGCCGGCCCTGTGGATTTGACCTGATAGATCGTGACGCGCGCAGGCAGGCAGCCTCAGTGGAGCCGTAAGTGCGAGAAAGGAAGGAAGTGGGAAGGACCTTGAGCCACCACACGGCGCGCTCGCCGTAGAAGACGGTGAACTTGTCGGTGGGGTTGGCCAGACCCTCGTCCAGGGCGAGCGCCACGTTGAGGTTCTTGAAGTCATCCGTCACCACGAACTCCTTCATGCCTTGGACCTGTGGCGTGGTTCGTGTGACTCGAGATCAGCATTGACGTACGCAGGGTTCACGCCAGGGTTCACTGATGGTGGCCACGACGTACGCCGCCAATTTCTTCATCGGGCACGAACGTGAGGTGGATGGTGCGCTTGAACTTCTTGCCCTCCTTGATCAGCTGGCGCAGCGCCACGATGTACTGGATGCACACGCACTGGTACACATCATGACGGCGTATCACACCGTCACCGGTACCGTGAGTCCACTCCGTCAGGAGAACGCGTGCGGGCAGGCCAGTGGTACCTTCATGTCCTGCGTTCCTCGACCGAAGATGTTGCCCTCTTCATCTTCTACGGCCGCCCACGGGTCGACCTGACGCATGGGTGTGAGAAAAAGCTGCGCAAAGAGAAGCAGTGGGAGAGGAGGCCACTTACCTTCCACATGGCCTCGACGGCCGGCACTACGTCGTAGTGGCTGTTGAGAAGGATGGAGGGCAGCGATGGCTCCTCGCCCACCAACGTTGCTATCAAGATGGGCTGCGGTGATCCGAGACACATGAGCGCACGAGATTTGTGTCAAGCTCAGCTGAGCTACGATGATGGAAGAGTGGGTGTACCTTGCCCTGGATGCATTCCACGGTCTTGGTGTGCAGGCCCATTTGATCGAGGAGCGCCTGGAGGAAACGAACGGCCTCCCAATTGGCACCTTTGTGGCCCTCCTGAGAGATTGTCTTGATGCGCAGGAACTGCTTGAACTCCTCCACGCCCTGCTCCTCCTCAGCCGTCCGCTTTTGCACTGCCTTTCCTTCCATCTCTCTCAGATCTTCTTCTACTGTAGCCGGACGAGTCTCTCTTCGGCGGTCCTGGCTTGTCGCCGACAAAATCAGGCCAAAAAAGAAAAGAAAATCTTGAATTCTTGGAATTATTTGAGTTGTGCTTTGGCGCCAAGATTACCAACAGTCAGACACAAGCAATCCAGGATTGGCCATCTCCAGGATTTTCACGCACTGCTGCCTCTGCCTTGCGTTCACCTGAGATGAGCTATCCGCCACTCACGTTTGTGAAGTTGCCGGCCTGCTCTCCTGCATCATCTCCTCTGCGGTACGCCCTCGCCTTCCGTCTCCCCCCCTGCGAATCTGCAGCCACGAACGACTTGCATTTTATAACTTGTCATTATTTGCAGAGACGGGTCACCTCTCCTGACTCGTTCTCGCGACGCCGCTCTGCCCTCGTCACCGCTGCGCTCCACACGCGTGGAGACTGCCGCGTCCTCGCCAGCCAGAAGCGCAACCCAACCACGGCCCACCCACGGTATAGTTCTTCCCCTACCTTGTAGTGGTGGCCCGCTTGCAGAAGTGCCTTTGCTCATGTCCGTGGGGCGTTGCAGGGGCGGCCAGCTCAGCAAGCGCGGGCGAGAAGCGCCGTTCGTTCTGGAGCGACCTCTTTGTCAACTCGGACTCGTCACAGGACAACGAGGACGAGGACGAGGACAGCGATGGCGACCTCGACAGCGGGCACCCGCTTCGTTCTTCGCTATCGCTTTTGTCGG